CTCCTCTTCTTCATCTATACAGGGTGCAACACGAGCGCCTGCACATGAAGCACAGAGGACACGAGGCCATGCACGCAGAGATGGTGCTGATCCTCATCGCCACGCTGGTGGTGGCTCAGATAGTCCTGGTGCAGTGGAAGCAGAGGCACCACCGCTCCTACAATGTGAGTGCTGCCAGCTGGGAGGCTAAAGGCACTGATTTGTCTCTTTTTTTATGGTAAAAACCACAAACATGTTTAACAAATCATGTTTAATATAAATGGTAAATTTTAGAAACCTATGTAGAATTTTTCAAACAACTCTTCACCACAAGACACAGGGGCACACCACAGGGGCACACCACAGGCTTGACACTTTCAGGGTGTGTCACTCCACCTGTTGTCCTCCTGGAGACAGCGCTTACATTTGAGTCTGCCTTTAGTGGCTTTTTGGGCAGCATCTGTGTCGGTGACAGTTTGAACAGGAATGTGTTCAGCTCTGCTGCTGTGGGGAACACCTGTCTTGTCCATCCCACAAAGCTGACGCACACTATAGAATCTTTGTGCGCTATGGACTGAACCTGGTTGGCGCTGCATATCTCATGATGCAAGGTGAATGCATTTGTTGTCGCAATGTCCACAAAATGCAGCAACATGGTCCTGTACCAGCAGGCAGTTTTTCTGTGAGTGAAATAATACTGAGTGAGCTGGTCAGACAGGTCAATCCCGCCCATATTTTTATTATATGGCATGATTGGTGTGGGACAGGAGATTTCTCTGATAGCTAAGTGTCCATCCTTCACCTTTCTCTTCACCGTCTCCCCTGAAAATGCAGGGATGGATGGTGGAGCACACGGACACCTCCCGTGTGTCCATCCACTTCACAAAAACAAGTGGGCCCTCTGATCCATCTCAGATCCTCTGACATTTTCTGTTCAGAGCATTTGCCCTGTCTTTGGGACATCCTTTTCTGTTTTCCCTGTAGGTACCACATGCACCAAACCTCATGCTTGTCAGGTCCAGGAACAGTCTGGGACTGGTATAAAAATTGTCTATGTAAACATGGTATCCAGTGCCAAGACAAAAAAGCCGAATGAGGTTCATCACCACATCATAGGCCAGCCCATGCTCAGTTGAAGTTTGATTCTTGCCAGTGTATATGGTAAAGCTGATGGTGCAGCCACTTCTTGATTCAGCCAATATAAACATTTTCATCCCCCATTTAGTCGATTTGTCTTTCATATATTGTGTCATCCCAGTTTTTGCTTTGGTTGCCACCTTTCATCCTTTCATCTACTGACAACTCCCTCCTTTTTAGTAATGAGCCTGGCAGGCACTGAGGATCTCATCATTTAGAGGCCTGACTCTAAAATGCTTGTCATGGCCTGGTGTTCCTTTCTTTGCGTCATTTTTTTTAAAATCCACCTCAGGATCACTGAGGTGGATGTTCCAAAATATGGTGAAGAACCTGTCTCTCATCATCACTATGGATGGAAGGGGCACAGACAAGATATGATTCTGTCTCCAGTAATCTCTGAGATTGGAAGTGACACAAGTGACATGTAAATCAGGAGACCAAAAAACTGATAGAGATGTTCTGTCTCAGTGCATTTGTATTTTTTTCCTAAATGATGATTTTTGTTTATTTATTTTTTATTTATTTATTTGCAGCATTTTTGTTCGTGTTTGCACAAATCTGTATTGACTGTGTGAGTAGCAAAAAACGATAAGAAAAAGTCTGTTGGACTATGGGGGCAAAGTGTCTCTATCTGGACTCCTGGTGTTCTGCTAATTTCTGGGGCAATGTCAGCATCCTTCTCTGACTTCCAGGACTCAGAGCTGAGGTGTGGCTCTGCTGCCTGGGCCAGTGGAGATCAGGACCTGGTGGGTGTGTCACGCCTTCCCTCTCTCTGCAGACCTCCTAGTGCACTCTGTGTGGATGTGAGAGGATCTTCTTCCTCCCCTCCTCTTCCCCTCTTTACATCTTGTAGAACAAAACCCCTTTTATTAATATTTTATAAAGAAAGTTATGGGTACATATTTGCATAACTTTTTAGGTATATGTACAAGTAGCGGTAATTACAAGTACGAAACATGTACTGCGCTTCATAAATGAGTAACAAATGTAGTACATAACAATAACCTACAGCACACCAGAAAAATAGATTCAGACTACCTTTTAGGCTCAGGTGCAGCGACACGGCTTTAACAAGAAGAAAAGTCAGTCATTCACCACCATCTTTCTCTTCTTCCTGCGCACTAAAATTCTCAAATTGATTTCTGCGTAATCATTTGAGCAGTTAAAGTGAGGAGTGTTAACAGCTTTAACCATGTGCATCATGACCATACTAACAAAAGTTTAAGCATGCAGTAGAAGTTGTAAAGTTGAGTATGGTAAGCACAAGCCACATGGCGAGGTTTCTGTAAAGCCAAATGTCAGATTTTCAGTTGTAGAAACGATCAAAAGTTTCTTGTCCTCTGATGATGGAAAGAAGCTAGAGGAGGCGGTTTGAGAATAAATTTGGCCACGTCCTGAACGTTTCTGCTGTACCTTTTCCTGTGTGAAACCTATTATAAAGTTGGCATCAGCTGTGGTTAGAAGCTGCAAGGTTTTATGCACAGGATGTTTGTCTTTATTTGCCTGGTGCCATTGTTATTCATGTAAGTACAAAGTAATAAAACTATTTTTTTATATTTTAATATTGAGGATTAAGTTTTCTCAGGCTCCTGAGAAAACTTAATCTTTTTGCCTGTTTTATAGCCTTAACTACATTACTGATGTTATTTTCTCACAAAGGAAATCCTCCAGAGGAAACAAGTCACCTTACACTTGTTTACAAGCATTTATTGTGTCAGTGTCAGTGTCATTCTGCACATGTAAGCTTAACTGCAGCTGTTAGCATATACTCACTCCTGCTAGCAGTGATGTACAACAATGCTGTTTCCCCATCTGCAGGTGAAAATCCTGAAGGATAATGTCCAGTTAAGCTTAGTTCAATTATGCAGCAGAACAAATCCACGAGTGACTGATTCCAAAAACACCAAATTGAAGGTTTTGGGGTTTTGGGCTCAGTGAAAGTCTGGACATGATCCAGTCATGATGCTTTGGCCTCACCTTAAACAGGTCATGCTCAAAACTCCACCATCAAGGCTGATTTAAAACAATTCTGCAAAGAAGAGTGGGCCAAAATTCCTCCATGGTGCTCATTGGCAGTTAGTTGTTTGCAGTTTTTTTTTCCCCACCAGGGTCGCACAACCAGTTATGTGGATAAGGGGCAATTAGTTTTTCACATATGGCCAGGTAGGTTTGGATAACTTT